AGTGTAGAAACTACTCGAAAAAGGCAAAAAATAAACTAGGAGCAGAGAGTGACCTAAAGAAGAAAAGTGTCTGAGTTCACTGGATACATTTTATTGCAATTGGGATATTTTTATCTTGATCTTTCTTACCAGGCAGGCTGAAGGGAGAACAACAAGAATAAACAGATTTGAATTCAGGCCACAAGAAATAACAAAGGAGAATTTGCAGACATGCAACCATTTTCCAATTGAAAACAGTAAGATAAATTTACTTTATATGGTAAAAAACTTTCCTAAAACTTTTACTTTGAAAACTGAAACACAATATGAAAACCATGTATTTAATAGGTCTTATTGAAGACTTTTTGTGTTTACATGCAAAAATATACAGAAGCACCAGAGGGCACCATCCTATGCACGAATATACCCATGGTTAAGTAATCAAAAAATCTCAAGAGAACTAAAACTTAACATGCCAAGGATTCCGCACAACCTTTCAAAAAATTAATATTCAAAAAATTATCCTGAAATCATCTATTTATTCCATACATATATATTATTACTCTATGTGAGCATCATAAATGTCTTCACAAATGATTACAGGATCACTTCAAAAATATATTTCTGCTATCATTTCATACAATTATTTCTGTGCACACAATCAGGATATATGTCCTTAAATGTCTGAGTGTATGTGGGAGTAAAAGAGGACGAGAATTTCACAAGGAGGGAAATAAAAAGTTAGAAGAAAAAAAAAAATCATATAATCCCAGATGTTAATTTAATACATTGACTGGACTACTGGAAGGGCAGACAATGGAAGTGCATATAGACTATTTTGGAAGTTTAGCAAATACCCCACATTTGCTTTTTCCCTTCCTCATCTCCAGTCTAGCTTCACATGTATGGCCTCTACACCAGAAAATTTCAGTAACCAGACCTAAGTACAATTTCTACTGTAGTCTTCTTGTTTTAGCTTAGAAAAATAGATATCAAGAATAATCAGAATGGGAACTAAAGTAATTTTGTCTCATATCTATAGCAATAGCTGTAACTTTTCAAAGGGGAGAAGAATTGCTCAAGAACTCAGGCTTCAGGCCAAAAAAATGAAC